GCTAGACTCCACCCCTTCGCTCAAGTTGACAGGGGCTGATGTCATTGGCACAGCCGTGTTCTCAGGAGAGACCAGTCCCTGGAGAAGGATGTCGTGCTTGGTAAAGTAAAAGGGTGGTGACAAAGAGGAAGGCCCTGGACCAGACGGATGGACACAGCGGCTACAACAATGGGCTCCGACGTCACCATGCCGGTGAAGGGCAGTGTTTCCAGGCAGGCTTGACTTGGAACGGACCTGACAGGCCTAACCAGGCAAATGCTGTCTCAGTAAGTCTGGTCCCTACAGGCTACAACGCAAGGCTTCGTGGTCACGCGTCACCATGTAGCCAGGCAATCAGAGCCCCAAGACCAGTTCTGTGCCTTCTGGAACCTGAAATCCTGCGCGTCCCCCAACCACGGGCCTCTCCCGTTAGGGCCATCCACCTGGCACAGCGACCGGTTGAAGAGCCACCCATCCTGGCCTTGCGGTGAGCTCCTCTGGTCTCCGTCCTCTGGAACGGGTCCATGTCTGTGACCGGCAGGATCCTGTAGCCTGGGAACTGCCTGTGTGCCCACAGCGCCCCTCATCCGGTGGTGGTGGTGGTGGTGGTGGTGGTGGTGAGGGGCTGGCTCTGCTTTGTGTGCCCTGTGCGTGCCTTCATGAGAGAGTCTCCGCAGGGCCTGTTTGGATCGGGGTCTGTGGGTCCCCAGCACACCACCGCTCCTGAATTCAACTCAGTTCTCCAACGCCGTCTCCGGCCTCTTCCCCACCTGCTCCAGTTGGCCTTCCCAAATGCTAACCCACCTGAGGACCTTTGCACTCAGCTTTCCCTCCACTCTCGGGGTCTCACTGCGCACCCCCCCCCATCAGATCCTCCCCTGCCCACTACTGTACTGCGCCACCTCCACGCCTCCACACTCCTCCTGCACTTGCTTTGGGTCTTCTACTTGGAATACAGACCCAAGGGCACCAACCAGGACAGAAGGGAGGGAGGGTGAGAAATGAATCCCCGAATGGTCCATCTTCAGCCATTCAGGAAACAAAAGGCCAAGAAGTTACCAGGTAGCCAGCCAGGCACAAGCTGGTGTGACCATCACTAGAACCCAGGGACCTGGGTTATGGTACTGTGTGAACCAGAGGAGTCAAGTGCCCAGGTGGCAGGAGGGAATCTACTCCGGAAGTAGAAACAGTAAGGAAGTAGGTGACCTTGGTGGGGGGAAAGATCGTTCACCCCACAGCACTCAACTAATGAGGAAACGGGCCCGGACTTGAGAATGCGGGGGGCATGTAAGGCTCTCGAAATGGCTGTGGGGCTCCCCGCTTGCTCGTTTGGTCTCCGGAGGCTTGGGGGAACCGTTTTGCAAAAATGGACTGTTTCTCTCGCTAAAGTGGGTACCGATTGGATTTCTTGAGTGTCTGCTCGTTGGTGAACATCTGTGGTGACCCATCCGGCATGTCCTATGGAATTAAACAGTCTGCCTGTTCTCTCTGGGGCCCATTGAGTTACGGTCTGAGTCTGGGGTTTCTCTCGCCCGCCAGTTACCAAGGGGAACTGAGAGGGTATAGGGGTACTGACAGCGTTTCTCTCCGTAGGTCGGAAAGAGGAGGGAGGCCGGGAAGAGCAGGGGTGCAGAGAGAGTGGGAGGAGGAGGGGATGAAGGAGGAGACCTCAGGGAGGAGCATTCGCTTCATCGGCTTACACAGGCTGTGTTCATCCTTTGAGCAGCAAAACGTTTCTCCAACAACATCTTAGATTCGACGACGACGGTACAGCAAATAGAAACAGATCCTTATCTCAATATGAAAGAGTATTGAAACCCCAGAGGACTCTGTTTCTAGGTCTGGCCTACAGGGGGGCCCCAGCTCTGACACCCCTGGTGCGCTTTGCCCTGCTTCCCCAGGGATTGCAGGTCCTGAAACTGGGTCTGGCCCTGCTCAGACAAGCCGGCCCAGCCAGCCGGGAGAGGCCGCTCAGGAAGAATGCAGTTGAAAGTGTGCAGAAAGAGACTTACCACAGGGACTCCAGGATCAGCCGGCCGGAATGTCAGCCGAGGCATCAGCGGATGTTTTTTTGTTCAACTACACAATGTTTACTTCCAGGAGTCTCACAATCTCCCC